TATATAATGTTGCTAATAATACCATAAGTTTTATAATACCAGCCCTGCATTTGTTATATTTGATTTTTGAATTTGATGCTTGTTGTTTTGTTACTGGGTTTGTATATATATATTATATATATATATTTATTATTTTATTTTTTTACCTGTAGCATGTGAGTCTATATTTGATGTTGTTGTAAATATTGTTGGGCTTGTAGTTGGGGTTTTTTGTGTACTTGTGGCTTCAGAGGTCGGTGGTGCAGTCTGTGTCTGTGACACATCTGTGAGGAATATTAAAAGCACAGAACAGCAGTATTTCCTCAGCAGGGGTATATATATAAATATACAGTGCTGCCTGAAAGCTGTATTTACTCAGTGCAACTTATAACATCCAAGTGAAAGATATAACACCAAATGTTGTATATAAAATGTTGCAAGTTGATAATACCAGCCCTGCAGTTGTTATATTTAATTTTTGAATTTGATGCTTTTTGTTTTGTAACTGGGTTTGTATTTATTTATTTATTTTTACCTGTAGCATATGAGTCTATATTTGATGTTGTTGTAAATATTGTTGGGCTTGTAGTTGGGTTTATATATATATATACATATATATACACATATACATATATATATATATATATATACACATATACACATATACATATATACACATATACATATATACATATACATATACATATACATATACACATATACACATATACATATACATATATATATATATATATACACACACACACACACATCACATTTTGTTGCATTGCAGCCTGAAATGAAGACGCCACAGTTTTTGTTTTATCCAGCTGTATTTACTTATAGCAACTTATAACATCCAAGTGAAAGATATAACACCAACATGTCAGAAAAAATAAAATCAGAATCACTGAGTTGGAAAAAGGATCAGCCCCCTCCTAAAAATGACTGGTAACTTTGAGGTGTAGCTAATCATTTTTTCAATGGCTTATGGCTTGTATGGGAGGGTTGCAAGAAAAAAGCCACTCCTCAAGACAAGACACATGAAGTCAAGACTGAGCTTTGCCAAAACACACCTTGAAGAGTCTGAGGCAGATGAGACTAAAATTGAATTATTTGGCCTCAACATCAAACGATATGTGTGGCAGAAATCCAACACAACTCACCATCCAAAAAACACCATTCCTACAGTAAAGCATGGAGGTTGTAATGTCCTGTTATGGGGTTGTTTCTCTGCAGCAGGGACTGGAGCACTTGTCAGGATAGAAGGAAAAATGGATGGGGCAAAATACCATCAAATTCTTGAGGAAAATCTGCTGCCCTCTGCCAGAAAATTGTCAATGGGAAGAACTTTTACCTTCCAACATGACAATGACCCAAAACACAGCAAAACAAAGCACACACTGGTTGAAGGAGAAAAAGGTGAATGTCCTTGCATGGCCTAGTCAGAGTCCAGACTTAAACCCCATTGAAAATCTGTGGAATGACTTGAAGACTGCAGTCCACAAACGGTCTCCATCAAATTTAACTGAACTTGAGCAGTTCTGCAAAGAAGAGTGGGCAAGTATTGTAAAGTCTAGATGTGCAAAGTTAGTAGAGACATATCCCCACAGACTAAAGGCTGTAATTAAAGCAAAAGGTGGTTCAACAAAATACTGACACAAAGGTGGTGATCCATTTTCCAACTCAGTGATTCTGTTTTTTATTTATTTTTATTTTTTTCTTACATGTTGGTGTTATATCTTTCACTTGGATGTTACAGCCGGATAAAACAAAATTGGTGTCCGTCTTCATTTCAGGCTGCAAAGCAACAAAATGTGATTATTTTAAAGAGGGGTGATTCTTTTCTATAGCCACTGTATGACACAAAACATAATCAGATTTTTGCACATGTCCTGAAAGTAGACAAAGAGAACCCAATCAAACAAATCAGAAAAAAATATTTTATTTGTCATTTATTTATTGAGAAAAATCATCAGGTGTTACATATCTGTGTAGCAAAAGTATGTGAATCTTTGATTTCAGTATCTGGTGTGACCCAGATTTCAGTATCTGGTGTGACCCCCTTTTGCAGTAATAACTGCAGGTAATGTTTCTTGTAACTGCTGATCCGTCCTGCACAAAGGCTTGTAGGAATTTTAGCCCATTCGCCAGTACAATACCGCTTCAGTTCCGTGATGTTGGTGGTCCTTCTATGAACTGCTTGCTTCAGGTCCTTCCACTGCATTTCAATTGGATTAAGGTCCGGACTTTGACTCAGCCATTCCAAAACATTAACTTTGTCCTTCTTTAAAAATTCTTTGGTAGAACGACTTGTGTGCTTGGGGTCACTGTCTTGCTACATGAAGGAGGACAGCTGATCGTCCTTGCAGTGGCAAACCACATGTAAGCATGTGTACCTCCAGAAGTGTTGAAGAACTTGCAAGTGCCTTGGTGGAAGGGTGAAGTAATATCTCACAGCAAGAGCTTATAAATCTGGTGCAGTCCATGAGGATGAGATGTAGTGTAGTACTTAAAGTAGCTGGTGGCCACACAAGATACTCACTGCGACTTTTGATATTGACCCGCTTTGTTCAGGGACACATTATTCAATTTCTCTCCGTCAAATGCCTGTGAAACTTGTTCAGTTTATGTCTCAGTTGTTTAACTTTTTATTTAAATTTTCATTTGAATATTTACAGGTTAAAAAAAATAGTATTTGGTGTAATGAAATGTGTTTATGTGGTTTAAGGTTCAAAAGAATAAAAGTTACGCCTTCTTTCTTTGCGTGAACATTTGGGCGGCGTTATGCAAATCTTCCCACATCATGACGCAGACATGTGGGGGCGTGTTAGAACGAGCCGTTTTAGGTAGGCGTGGTTGACTCTTAACTTTTCTAAAGAATATCTCTTTGGATTTGAGACTTTAGTCTTTGCAACTTTACAGATCTTCTTTATGCACCAAGAGTTTGTAACACTCCAAAGAAAAAGGAAAAATTGAAATCGCATCATATGACCCCTTTAATAAAAGCTTGCATTTGGATCTCCATTGTCATGCCCAGTCCCGTTACAGAAGACGTCGCCTACCACAGACCCAGCAGCTTTACAGAACACCAGATCAACTATGAAACCAGCCAATCGTCTCGTTCGTCTCCGACAGAGGGTCCATCCTATTGAGGATTACGTGGCTGAGTTCTGTGAACTTTATTACCAGGTAGATTTCAATTATACTTTCCTGAAAGACATTTTTCGTTTTGGTTTGACTAAGGACATATCACGTTTAATGCTACGCAATACTCCCCACTGGACTCTAGAAGAATATATTGACTTTGCTTTGCAGATGAGTGGCTCTGCCGTTACAGTGGGAGTTGTGGAGGAGGAACACGGCATCCCTCCAGAGTCCTCACACAACATGGTCGCCATTCCAGAGTCTCGCCCCGTCATGCCTGCCAAGCCATGGCCTGTTCATGTCATGTCATGCCTGCCAAGCCAGAGGTTTGTCACGTCAGGACTGCCACATCAAAATCTTCCCATGCCTTGACTGCTCTTTCAGGAGTTGTTCACATCATGTCTGCCAAGTCAGAACCTGCTCACATCATGCCAAAGTCTACGGGGCCTGTTCATATCACGCCAAAGTCTATGGGGCCTGTTCACGTCACGCCAGAGTCTACGGGGCCTGCTCACGTCCAGCCTGCCAAGCCAGAGCCTGCTCACATCACATCGACTAAGCCAGAACCTGCACACGTCACGTCAGCCAAGCCAGGACCTGCGCATGTCACACCTGCCAAGCCAGAGTATGCTCACGTCGCGTCTACCAAGCCACAGCCTGCACACGTCACATCTGCCAAGCCAGAGCCTGCTCACGTCACGTCTGCCAAGCCAGGGCCTGCTCACGTCACGTCTGCCAAGCCAGGACCTACACACGTCACATCTATTAAGCCAAATCCTGTTCACGACATGTCTGCCAAGCCAGGGCCTGTTCATAAAATGGCTGCTTACCCAAAGACTGTTTACAAAATGGCTGCCACTCACAAGACTGTTCACAAAATGGCTGCCAACCCGCAGACTTTTCACAGGACAACCGCCCCGCCTGAGCCTCGCCATGCCAAGGCGTCCTATCAGAATCTCGTCCCGTCATGGCTACTGTTCTAGAGTCAAGTCAAGTCACGGCTGATCTTCCTGAGTCAAGTCAAGTTACCGCTGATCTTCCTGTGTCAAGTCAAGTCACGGCTGATCTTCGAGTCAAGTCACGACTGATCTTCTGGAGTCTCGTCACATCTCAGCTGATCTTCTAGAGTCTCGCCACATCTCAGCTGATCTTCTAGAGTTTTGTCACATCTCAGCTGATCCTCCAGAGTCTCATCATGTCTCAGCTGATCTTCAAGAGCCTCGTCCCACTTCCGCTGATCTTCCAGAGTCTCGTCAAGTCTCAGCTGATCTTCCAGAGTCTCATCCTGTCACGTCTGCCATCCCAGAGCCACGTCCTGTCGCAGTTGTGTTACCACAACCCCCACAGTCCTGTCAATAGAACCTGTCATTGAGCGTCAGAGGTTGGCATTCAACATGGGAGGATCCACCGCTGGTGTCAGCATGCACAACTGATATCTCCAAACCAACTCACCCTAACCCTCCTGTTCTTGAACTAATTCCCCTGTCTGCAGCACTTCCCATAATGGGGGTTGCTTCATGGTTTGTTTGGGCTGCATACACCACCACTGAACCTCCCGAGGCAATGGCGCCCGCTGCAATTTCTCCAGAGGTGGCGGCGCATACTGCAGAACATCCCGAGGTGGCGGTGCTCATTTCAGCTCCTTGCGCAGTGGTGGCACCCAGCAATGCACTCCCAGCCTGTCATGTCACAGTTGAAGGGACCTATGCTGAACTCTATATCTGTACTGTCAAGGAGAATGTTAATGAACTCTTCCTGTTGCCTGATGCCTCTGTTACGACCGCAAATTCTTTCTCTGAACTCTGAAGCTCCTGATGCTACTGCTGCAGAATTTCCAGAGGTGGTGGGGGTGCCCACTTATGAACTCTCTGTCTGTCCTGTTATGGCTAAGGAGGCCATTTCTGAACTCTCTACCTGCCTAGCCATAGCCACGGAGGCCGTCTATGAACTCTCTGCCTGTCCTATCACGGCTATGGAGGCTGTCTATTAACACTCTGCCTGTCCTGTTACGGTTAAGAAGGCCATTTCTGAATCCACAGTCTGTCCTGTTCTGACCAAGGAGGTCGATCCTGAACTCGCTGACTGTCTAGCCATGGTCAAAAGGGCTGCTCCTGAGCTCTCTGCTTGCCCTGTAATGGCCAAAGATGCAGTTTCTGAACTTTCTCCTGGTCCTGTTACGGCCTCTGAGACCGTCGTTAGTCTTTCTGTGCTCTCTGATCCAGTCCCGCCTGATCCGCCCTGGTGGTCACCTGCCTTGTTATGTTGGTGGATATCTACTCTGCTGTGGTGGTCATCTGCTCCACTGTGGGGATCTTTGCTCTCGTCTGCTCTGCTGTGGTGGTCTTCAGCTCCGCCCTGGTCTCCTGCTCTGCCGGCTCCGCCTTGGCTCACTGTTCAGCCGGCTCTGCCATTGCTCCATAGCCCAGGTCCCCCACTATTCCACAGTCTGCCACTGCTCCATGGTCCAGGTCCTTCACGGATCCACTGTCTGCCACTGCTCTATGGCCCAGGTCCTCCACTGTTCCACAGTCTGCCACTGCTCCATGGTCCAGGTCCTTCACGGATCCACTGTCTGCCACTGCTCTATGGCCCAGGTCCTCCACTGTTCCACAGTCTGCCACTGCTCCATGGTCCAGGTCCTTCACGGATCCACTGTCTGCCACTGCTCTATGGCCCAGGTCCTCCACTGTTCCACAGTCTGCCACTGCTCCATGGCCCAGGTCCTCCACTGTTCCACAGTCTGCCACTGCTTCATGGCCCAGGTCTTGCCCACTGCTTCATGGTCCATGCCATGACTCTGATCCTGTTCCCTTGCATGGGCGCCATTGGTTTTTCACCTGCTGTCTGAGAAGGCTATCTGTTTGTGCACTTCAGGTGTGTGAGCGATGCGCATAGAAACGCTCTATCACAGTGCGCGAGTACCGCACTGAGATGTCTTGGGCTTAAATGGCTTAAAATTACTTTAATGTTTAAACTGACAAGACTTAAAAAACGTGAGAATGAAAAACTTTCTCGAGAAAGCAGCACTGGTGGATGGCTAAAGATTTGTTAACTCATATTCATAAATTCTCAAGGGAACGTCTCTGAATTAACTGATGCTCGCGCCCCCCTGGGGGATGGCGCCCCACAGGTTGAAAACCCCTGCTCTAGAAGGCACTCCATCCCAGACCTTTGCCACTGTCTCATGGATTCCATTTCCCATAACACCCTCTGCCTGGGAACTGATTATCGACACCTGACTCCAATCAGGAGGACTATAAAAGACGCACACAAACACAATCACAGCGCAAAGTCTTGTTCAGCTGTAAGCAGACACCACTGAGCGTATTCCATGTTTATCTTGCCTTGTTTTTGCCTTGCCTTGCCTGTGTTTTTGGACCTTGGACTGTTTCCTTGTTTTTGTGATTGTTTGCTGCCTGCCCTGACCATTGCCTCTATTGGATTACTCTTTTGCCTTGCCCTGGATAGTTGTTTGCTGGTGTTGGACCCTGCCTGTTCTGACCACAAACTGTTTTAATAAAAGCTTACATTTGGATCTCCGTTGTCACGCCCAGTCCCGTTACATGCACATAGAATTTGGCTGAGAAATTACCCTCAAAAGATCATTTAAAGCCATTATTGTGTTGAATAAGAAAAACATCAAAAAGACATCACAAAAAGTAGCTTTAGGAAATACATTTTTTTTTTTATTCAACATAGAATTTATTACACAAACTTTTAGGCTACAATGGCATAACATAAACTGTGGAACATATATATTCTTACCTGTTGGACTTGTTTGTGTACTGTGACTGGTGGCTTCAGTGGTTGGTGGTGCAGTCGACGTGAATATGATTGCCTTCCTTAGCCAAACCTTACTGTATTCTTCAACGAATGCAGCACTGAATAGAAAATTGAAGATCAGATTTACAAACTAAATGCAATAAAAGTGTAAAGATGTTAGTTTAATTTCGTTTTATTAGGCTGCACAGTAAAACTACCTGAAGAAAAACACTCCAGTCTCTTCGGGGGTCCACAACACTTGAACTATTGTTTTTCTTTGGTTATTAGTTTGAGCCACAGCATGGCCCTGATAATATATCCATATCATAAACAGTACAAGTCAGTTTAAGGGATTAATTGCTATAACATTTAACACATCGTGTAAAAATGGTAAAAAAAAGAATGAATAACTAATAGGTGTAGTGGGTGCAGGGCAGGACTCACACCACAGATGAGTGCGCTGTTGTCCGGGTCAGTCAAATAAAACATGCCAGCAGACTCGCACTTATCACACTTACGAGCGTCCAACATGAAACCTCTAAATCCAGCCGGATAAGCCGTAACCGAGACTATGGTAAAATGAGAGATTTTGAATTGACACATCTGAAAAGCCATTATGTTTTACACCGATAAAATAAAATAAAGTGAGAAAATCGACCATTATTCTCCGTTCCCAGTTCAGAATCTGTCACTTCTATATATTCTGGTTCGATCTTGAAAGGGGCTTCACCGTTTTGTGCTGGTACACTGGAAGAATAAGAAGAAGAAAAAGTACTAATTCTGCGATGACATATCCAGTTAACGCACATTTCCGTTAACCGTAAAACAACGCAGTGCAGTGCAAAATTCAAAAATACAAGTTAAACACCTGTAAAAAAATAACAGTGTACGTTATTTGTGCACCATTCCCACATACCCATGTTTGATATCCATTCCTTGACATTCAGGCTCCAATAAAAATCCATCGCTGTAACAGGTGATGAATTCCAGCATATTGAATATGCATCCAAATGAAAGGAAAAGGAGACCGCACGAATTGTACATCTGAAACGGCCAAAAACCACGAAAACAATCACAGAAATTTAAACTACACACTTTTAACAATTTATGTTTATAGATTCTTATGAAGTTCAATAGTAATTAAGATATGACAGTAGCCTACGTTGTTATGCGCTTTGCTGATCAAAGAGAGGAATGAAACCTTATGTCTTGCTGTCAGTCGACTCTATACATTGCCCTTTGACTCAACGTTAAATTGGCTGAAGGCCCTCTTTTGGCCAATCAAGGTATTACGATAAAAGAAATAGTAGCCTAGATATAATAGCGAATAGCAGCTTTGTATTCTGGGGTAATCATTGTCCTGCCCCAGTTAAAACATGACGTGCACCAGGAAGTACATATTGGATGGCTGATGATCACAGTTCCAAAACACACGGCAGCAACAAACAGGAAGTCTACTTTATAAGTATAAAGTAATCATTGTCACGGCGCGTGAGGGGAGATGAAGCGAGGACTCAAGTGCAGGAGGAATAGTTATTTATTTTAATAATAAACTGAAACAAAAGCAAACTCAAACGCCTCCCGAACAATGCTAGGTAGTGTCACGGTGCGTGCGGGGAGATGAAGCGAGGACTCAATTGCAGGAGAAATGGTTATTTATTTTAATAATGAAAATGAAACAAAAAACTAACTCAAACCACCCCGAGGGGGATAAACAGACAGGCAGGCTCAAAACTGCACTCCATGCAGACATATAACACACACAATGAGAAATGACTGATCAGCACAGGATGACAGACACCAGGAGAATAAATAGGAACCAAACGAGGAGGCTAACGAGGGAGACACAGGTGGAGCAACTTAAACAATAACGAGGTAACAAGATGGGAGGGGCAAGACAATAGACAGGAGAGAGCACATGGCAACAGACAACACAAGCCATGTGCTCACCGAACACAGTCATCTGGTGGCCCTCCTGGGCACACCTGCTGAAGACTGTGACAATCATGAGGTCACAGATCAACAACAAGGATACAGAGCCAATACTTCCTTCTGTAAGTAAAGGTTTTTGGGTTAAATGCAAGTGAGATGTTGTAACTCTCTACCACAGGCTGAATGTGAGAGAAAGTTAGTCCTGCAAAAATCTGACCTAAATTGTAAGTTCATGTCACAGTCCTATATAATGAAAACATTAATAAACAAATAGTCCTACAGTCCAGCATTCTTGTGTAAACTCAGATTTTTTACAATACAAAAATCAGCACACCAGCAACTGGGAACCAGAATCCAAAACAGAATATGTAACATTATTTGCCATCTAGAAAACAGCCCTGCATCTTGAAGAAAATTTATGATGATTTGCCCAAAAGGCCTAATATTACCTAAGTTGATGATGCTGAGTTAAAAAATCATCACATACAGTTTTTTTTCTTTCACAAAATAAGAAAGTTTTTTTCAAATCATTTATGCATCAGCTTTAATGCACTTAAAAAAAAAATAGCCAAAGCAGTCAATTGGTTTGAATGACAAAAAGTATTCAAAATGTATCATTTAATTTACATTATGCAACAGAATGGAAAAAAATTATTCAAATACTCCATTTAATGCCAAAGAACTTTACATCTGGGTCATGTTTGCATTTTCTTCGGTCTCTGTCATAACCTTGAAATCATGATTATAAAATATTGTCTATTGAACAAAGCTAAGAATTGAACAAAGTGTTGTAACCTGGCCCAGAGGAAGACAGGAATCATGTCTTTATGATAGTTTTTCTGGTGATTAATGAATAATACAATACTTCTTCACCTTACAAATGGTTATTGAAAGCAAAAATATCATATGTACATATTTTGTGAGAAAATGTGAAGTGCTAGAGCAAAACAGGCACTATTTTTGGAATCATCACCCCAAAATTAACAAGTAGGCTATTGGATTTCATTCAGTAAATTATGGTTCAGTGTAATACAAAAACTGTTATTATTTTCAATATAAATAATAAAAATCACTGTGCAAGTTGAATAACATTCAAAATAATCATGACAGAGGAACAATGTTTGGCCGTCTTCCAACAGGAACCTATAAAGGCTAGGAATTAATAAATAACTTGTAACAATAAAAATGAGGAAGATTGTTACAAATCGTTACTGATAAGAATTGGAGGTGAAGAGAATGTGAAGTAGTGATATTTGAAAACATAAATAGACATATACATGCTAAATAGTTTAATCAAGCCAGAATTTAAATAATGAAATAGGCTATAACAAATCATCTCAGTACACAGATATACTATATATCCTAAATACTAAATACATTTTGGGACATTTTGAAGGAGCCTACACGACGATGAATTAAATAATTAAAAAAAAAAAGTCAAAAGAGAGTTAATACTTGTTATATATTATATAATAAGATGTATAAATCAAGATTAATTATTCGGTGAATTTAATCCTAAAAGCAATATTGATGACAGACATTATGTTGTCAAAAAAAGAGCAAATGAAAAATAAAAGAACATTCAACACAAAAGAGTACTGATACAGATACTGTACGTGCTGATGTTCGTGTGCTGATTTTCGTGTAGTGACCAGTGGGGGCACCGTCGGCCCCGTTCAGGACAAGTAGCAAATTAAACGGGGGCGAAGAAACGTCTCCCGCGTATTATGACTTGTCTTTTTCACATTGGAAAATGTGAGATTTTTTGTTTTCTTTTATCATTATCAGAAGATTTAAAAAGATGGCAAGTCTCAGTCAGGAGCTAAAGCGCTGGGCTGTTGAGGAACTTGAGTTGCCAGTAGCCAGACTCCCGGATGACGGCTATATAAAGACGTTAGTGAGTTATATGAATGAATTATAACATTAATCGTCATCAACGAGTTTAAACTGATCACGTGTTTACATTTTATCTAGGTTGTGTGTTGGTCCTGGAGCTTCCATTTGGAAGTATATCACGCAACATGTTTATAAGGAAAGGTGCGACCTCAAGATTTCACAGTCTCTGTGTTTACTAACTGTTACGTGTTCTTAAATGCACTGTTTCTGATTATACAATATTCCTTTGACATATATCTTACAGGAACGTTCGAGTCATGAGGGGGAATATTCAGTGGTATCCTTTAAGTTTTCTGACAATGTGATGTGTTAATATGCATATATGTGTATTATGTGCTGGGTTGTTATTGCAGATTAAAACTAAAACTATTAAATTCGTTTTTTGGTAATTAGATTAAAGTTGAAATAAAAGAAAATAAAAATGTTCGATAAGAAACTTGTTGCCTCTGCAACTAACTGAAGTAAAAAAAAAAATTAAAAAAAAGCTTAAGTTGAAGTACTATAATGACTGAAATAGAAAAGAATGTAAATAGAGATGTTAAAAAATTATAAAATGACAAAATCACATGACAAAACTTAAATTGAAATGAAAACTGAAAATATATAAAACCTAATTCCAAGTATTAATAAATACTATAATAGTATCTGAATAATATTAAAATATCAGTGATTTTATGACACAAAACATTTACATAGATATACGCAGTGTTGGGCAGTAACTAGTAACTTAGTTACTGTAATAATATTACTTTTTGCAGTAACTAGTAGTGTAACTAATTACTAATAAGATTTCAGTAATAATATTACAGTTTCCATCCATAAAACAGTTTAGTTACTTAGTTACTTTTGATGCCTCAACCCCGCTGATTTAAGATACAACAATCAAATAATTCCTAGATTTATTTTCATAAATTTCACGACTTGCACATGCATGTGATGTCCCCAGTGCAGCAGGCAAGCTTGGAATATGGAAAAGCTTACATTCAGCAGATAGAAATATAGCATTATATTGATTTTGTCAGGAAAAAAGATGATCTGAACACTGTTGTGTAAGTTGTGGCTTTACTTTACTCTGGCATTACATCCCACCCACATCCCTCTGATCAGCATGTGGTACATTATATTACTATAATTAAAAATCTTTTCGGAAAATTAAACCGTTTCTTACAATCTTATGTGATTTGATAAAATACATAATGAAATATAATCGTATATGGGTAACGGAAAAATTACAATTAGCTTCAAGCTACACATGACAATTAATGAGATTAATACAACACTTCTACCTGAACGTCACTATCCATCACTATTGAGTGTTTGTAATAACTTCTGACTGCGATCCAATGTGGATTTTTGTCAAATGATGAGGCAGAAATATGTTGTTAGTAACATTCTAGAAGAATTTTATGTGGAAGAAACTACTGTCGGGCGTGAAGAAAAAGTAATGTAACTAGTAGTGTAACTAATTACTGTTGCCAGAAAGTAATAAGTGAAGTAACAATATTACTTTTGAAAGTAGTAACTAGTAATGAGTAATATATTACATTCTTTGAGTAACTAGCCCAGCACTGGATATACAAAATATGGTTGTTTCATGAGGCCCACCGCAATTTATATCTTTTTACTGCGTTGTCAAAATGTTGAAAATCAAGTTCTTACTCTATTACTTACTAACTTGTGGTTGTTTGAGTTGTGGAATTGTTCCTTGACAGTCTAAATCCTAAGGTACAAAGTTTTACAAGATAAAGAGGTAAAGAAGAGTACTTGATTGCACTTTCTTATGCTGCTTCTATAAAGATCCGTAAGCACAGCTTAAAGATGATTATTCTTTATAGCTTAAACAGTTGAAAAATCAGAATAAAGATACGAGAAGGCTTGAGCTTCGGAGAGAGATTGCTGCCCTTCAGACTGAACTCAATCAACTGTACACAAAGATCAGTAGAGTGGAGGATCAAATTGCTACTGAAGGTGAATGTTCTTATTCTATCTTTCTGTTTATCTTCATGCTCTTTTATACTACCTACATCTGTATTACACACATACTACAGGCTATGTGAACCAAAACAGTCATCATACGATCAAAATGGTCTCTGATTACTTTCTACACATTCCTGATTTTGTTGTATACAATACAGCATATGTTATTTTAAATAAGACATGCTTTTAATTGTAACCTAATCTTACAATGATGTGTTCTTCTGTCTCTGAAAAAAAACTTTCACTTGAAGCTAATAATTTGTTTATGGTTTAATATCCTTTTTAAAAATACATCCGAGTATGGTATTCTATGTTGTTGCTGTTGTTACTAATATATTTCTTCCCTTGTTTCTGAGCAGAGCAGAACATAAACAGGAACTGGGACGACTTTATGGATGGCAGGCACAGACAGATTCTGTTGGATTCTTTCAGGCAGCGCTGCTCTGAGGAGAGAAACATACTGTTAGAGGACACACACATGATTGGCACCCAACGGCATACCCTGGAAGAGCTATCCAAGTGAGCCACCTTCAGACTGTTAAATTTCTATTGCAGCTTTCTCAAAGACTGATTGAAACAATGTTTTAAAGCTGCTGTGTGCCATATTTTGATGATGTGTGCATCTTTATTGAATAAAAGCATTAATTTCTATTTAAAAAAAAGCTGAATGGTAGTGCATATTTCTCTTTTTGTCCAGGAAAGCAGAGGAGAAGCTGGTGTTTGGGCCATCTGACAGTTCAGACAGTGAAGCCGGAGCAGATCCATTGGTTTTAGTAAGTGTTGCTGTATTTAATGGTGTTTGTGATGCACACTAGAATATTATAATTATAACTACTTTTTGGCCTCTTGTCATTGCTGATGTCAGTTTTAATTCTGAAATTCAAAAATCCTACTTTTGAATGGCCTTTATTTGAGAAAAATAGGTGGTGTAGTTATAAAATCTTTAACTGAACTTTCACTATTCTTTTACTTGGGGCCTAATTGGATAATTTTAACCAGTCAAACTCCAGTTGACCGCTTGATTAAACCACTTGGCTTTCCACTGATTGTAACTCATGAAATACCATTTCAATCTCATTTCAGAAAGATGTGAGTGAGCTCTGCAGCGAGAGGGTTCTCTTCTTCCAGTGCCTGCTCGAGAGTGAACTGAATGTGAATCCGTCCACTGAGTAAGATGCACAGGCATTTGATGCTGATATTGTAGATAGAAGAGCTTTATCACTTTTGCCTTGTTGATACGAATTCATTTGTTTTTCATCTAGATTTACTCATGAACAAAGGAAAGCAGTGATCCAGCACTGGACGAGTGCAGTGGAGGTAAATGAAGACACCCATTTTAGGAGGATGCATGTTTGTTTATGTGTCTGCATGCCAGTGATTTTGTTCTGCACATCAACAACTTATGAGAACCTCAATATTTCTAATTTTCAGAACGTTCTACGCTCTCATCCTCCAAACCAAGTGCTTTCGGCTCTGCAAGTCTTGACCTCTAGACAGCAGGTGGTGTTAAAGGAGAAGATTGCAGCTTTGAACGTGGAGCGTGACATTTCGGATCTAGGGTATATTTTTACATTATAATGTAGATTATGAAAATCCATTCTATAAATAATCATGTTATTGAATTGATTATTGCTTATTACTCAGGCATTTGCCCTTAATGCAGGTTTCGTCATCAGAGCGATCACCTAATAGATGTGTCGGCTGATCAGGAGGAGGAGTTAACACCTGTCCGCAGTCTATTGCAGGTGAACATTTGAGATGGTAATTTTAGTGCATTGTATACTCTTTCTCTTGTGGCTCAGGTTGTATTTGTGTGTTTGCTCGCAGTCTGCTTGGGAGGAGGTGGAGCAGAGTTATTTTGAATTGGCTCAGGTTCACAACAGATGTGGGAAGCTGGAGACTGAACTCACAACTTTGATGAGAAAAGCAGAGACGGCACACAGGTCAGATCCAGTGTCCAGGTGAAAATTCCCTCAGCCAACCATGTATCAGGTGCTACTGATGTATCTCCAGCAGCATGGCAAAATA